TGTTTTGGAAAGCCTTTTAGTTTCAATGAGAGATAACCAGAACTGGGAAGCATATTGGTTAGGGGCAGAATGACAGCTGTTTTCTAGTTCGAGCCACACAATTGTGAATATCTTCTCAGATATAAACTATTTACATTTCCACATTCCACAATGCATTATGAATAATGGGACCTGATAGGAAAAAACACTGTGACTGAAGGGTAACCAGATTAAAATATCAGGAAACACTGAAGTTCCAGAAGTGTGCATATCAGAATCCACCAGTAAGGAAATAAATATTCTTTCATGGAAATCTCCTTTGGTTTAAAATACCTAATACGTAGTGTCTAGCTTCTCAAAAACATTAAACTAGGACTTATGTTTTGTCAGGAAATATTACAGCTGTGTTGCTCATAGGTCAAAATAGAAACCATATGGAAATATTTTTAGCATAAGACTAATTTTAAAACAAGTAAGCCATTTTCAGAAAGCACTTAGAGTGAATTTCTCTTTACAAAGTTGTTTTTAAAATTGCTTTTCCTTATGTGACTTGAGTTGATTGAATGCGCCAAAACAATCTATTTGAATGACTAATAAACTCAATTTCCTGAGATCTACTGATGAAGTATTTTAGCCTACAGTTTTGCTAAAGACTATTGGGAGCCTGACTTGATTCAAATTCTTCTGCAAACCCATGACATTCATATGAAGTTAGCCTCCAGAAGATCATGTACATTCTATATAGACGTTTACATTTACATTAATTTAAAATGGAATTTTACATCTGAAAAATGAGTGCAGCAACTAACATCTGAGAAACAGTATTTTTGTGCTAGTGTTAACACTGAAGAAAAGTTGATCAACGATGTGTGAACATAGAATTTGTTTATTTGTTAGAAAAAATAAGAAAATATATTCTACCAAAGCAACTAATGGGTGCTTTCTCTTTTAATAACCATTAAACATTTTTCAACAAAGAGAAAACTACCCAGATGAGAATTTAGCTAGATATGTAACTTGATTTTATATCTATAAGACATATTTTTCCCTCTTACATTTAGCTAGGAATTATGGTATTGGTCATGGTGCTATAAAGTAAGGACAGAGGTACTTTAGGAAGGTATGTCAAAAAAAATATCAATGCTCTAGCAAAACCTTGGGAACCCTGGGAGGGTACATTAAGTGATATCCTCTTGTTCACAGTAATTTTATTTAATAAAAACAATGAAGCAAAAAAGACACTGCATATAAAGTATGTAAATGAATTATACTATTATGTTATGAGTGAGAAAATAATTCAAAAGTTATTTAGTCACTAAAAGTAATAATGTAAAACTACCAATTTACCAAACAGGAAATGAAATTACTAAAAACAAATTCGGGTCACAGCAACCTCAGCTTCTCTGGGTTCAAGTGATTCTCCTGCCTCAGCCTCTCAAGTAGCAGGGACTACAGGTGTGCACACCACACCTGGCTAATTTTTGTATTTTTAGTAGAGGCGGGGTTTCGCCATGTGGGCCAGGCTGGTCTCGAACTCCTGACTTCAGGTGATCCACCCAGGCTTGGCCTCCCAAAGTGTTGGGATTACAGGCATGAGCCACTGCACAGGGCCAAAAATTGCTCCATTCTTTATTTAAAAAAATACAAAATGATAATTTGAAAAATGCAGACCATGTGGGGCTTCTGAAAAAATACCAACAAAAAAGTGGCAATCCCACATTGTGTATTTGATTTGTTACCATTACTCTTTTACTATTTTGCAATATTTTTTTAAACTATGAATCAACCTGTATATTTTTTTCTTCTGTTTCACTGAATATGGTTTCAGAAGAATGACAATACATTAAAGCAATACCTAAGAGTATTTGAATTTTTTGACTGGTGGTTTCATTTTTAGAGCTTTTTAAAAAATCCAAAATTAAATAGAGTTTTAAAGTTTGTAAGGAATAACAATTTTTAGAGGGGAAGATATTTAAGTAATGAAGTCTGACCGTATGAAAACTATCTAATTGATCCTCATTGTGTTCAGGAATCTTGTTTTTCAAATCACTTAAACTTTCTATTTGTAATTGCAGTACTTGGAAGAGCCTTCACATTTTAACATTATGATTATACCTACCGTAAAATCTGTGTCTTGGATGTTTTAACCGTATATGAGTCAACAAACTCCAGTAATCAACAGAGGATATGAAACATCTTATTTTGCTGAACTGTATTAATCACGGGGTTTCAGAGAGGTAAGTCAAAGGAGATGTAAAACAGTTACTTAAAGAATAATTCTTTGGGGAGCTTGCCCTTGCTTTTAGATCACATAAATTATTTTTGTTTCATCAGTGCTCACACTTCCTTATTTTCATTTAGAGTTCCAGCAGCAAGAACATACATGATGTCAAAATTCTATATTGCATGCATCAATGTGTTAGTTTCAATAAAATCCATAAATGAAGTTTCCTTTCGCACATACCACCTGTATGAATTTCCATTCTGTGTAAAGGGTGGCAAGCCTCTCTAGAGCTACTTTTATTATCATTGGCCACGCTTTAGAACTTGATATCTTGACACTTTAAAGGGGTATATGTAGAGGTATGAGGAGGAAGATGGAGAGGTAAGTTATTTCTACAGAATTCAAAATCAGTTTAGCATATATATCTAACTGACAGTACTAAAGAAAGCATACCATTCCTTTCACCAGTGGTCAGAAGTTGGGCCTTGTTGCTCTTTGGAATAAAATGCTTAGGAAGTAGTGAAGTAGTTTACATTTATAATGGTTATAAAATAAAAGTGAATAGGACAAAACATACAAGTCTTGTTAAATTACTAAAATTTTCTGCAATTTAAAATATCTGTAAAAACCCATGTGTATTCACTGTTAGTCATATATAATACTACCCGGATTCTAACTAACTGAAAATGCACTATTACAGTCACTCCTTTTATTTCATGCTTTGGCTTTGGTATTGGATTGAGAAATATAAACCAAAATCTAGGAAACAAAGATACTAATTCAGAGTAATCTTAAATTTTCTCATTGGTTTTCCATAGTCAGGAAGTACTTACTTCAGAGTATTTCTTTCTAAAGTTTAATCTGCTATCACTGGAGAGAGAGAGAGAGAGAGAGAGAGAGAGAGAGAGAGAGAGAGAGAGAGAGAGTTTGTGTGTGTAAGATGGAAAAGTTATCTTTTTAAGATATTTTTTAGGATAAGATGATACCCAAACAGACAAAAACAGACATATTCTTAACACAATGAACTGTAAAGCTACTCTTTGTTAATTTTTTTAACAGTCAAATTGTAATTACTAGGGATATCTGTAACTTAGACAGATACCCAGACAAAAACAGACATATTCTTAACACAATGCACTGTAAAAGTTACTCTTTCTTAAGATTGTTTTTTAAACAGTCAAATTGTAATTACCAGGGATATCTGTAACTTAAAAAATATAGTTTCTTATCCTCCAGATATATGTATTTTTATCTTATTTTGCTGAAACTTCCTGTCAAACACCAAGAGAATGTGTGTTGAATAACCATGATCTAATTATAAGAACACAATTTAATTGTGTGCAGAATAATACAATACAGAAAACTATCTGGATATCTAAACAGGAAATGGTAAACCTTTGCAGGAAATATCTCAGGAACAAAACAAAACACCTTAGTCCAGTTCTTATTACAGTACACGAAACTATTTTTAAGTCTGGGCTTGGAAACCTGTTTTTTTTTTTTTTTTTCAGGACTTGTAACCATTGTATTTAATTGGCCCCCTGAACTTGCCCTTCCTTCTTAAGTCCACTGCTTCTGTCCTACATCCTTATTATCTTATGAATAAATTAATCAAAAGCCTAATTGGTTTTTATGCTTCTAGCAGTTTCTTGTCCTTGTAAAATGTCTGCAGTTACAAGATTTGTTCTTAAGTTTAGACATCTAACTGTGCCTCATACAGCATAAACTCAGTTCCCTTGTCAATCAATCCCTAGTTACTTTTCCAACTTTGTATTCCGGGTTCCACAACAGATTCCATTATTCCATACTTTCACTATGCACTTCATCGTTTCCTTGCTGTGGCACCCTCTCATAATGCAACAGCATTTCCTTCTCTTTGGTTTTCTCATTCTCTCTCTTTTAACCCCTGGCAATTGCTATTCTGTTTTTAAAGTCCAGTTCAAATGTTTGGTCCACTTTCCAAGTTTCTTTGTGAAACTAAGGGACAAATTATACACCTCTGACAATATATTCCTCTATTATGCCACTAGTGAATTGTATATGCCTCTTTCTACCATAAAGCCTATGCATTTTTTAAAGGTAGTGATCAGCTCTTCATTTTTGTAGCTACAGTATCTGACACTCAGTACACTTCCAGTAAAAATACGTAATTGCTCATCTTTGATTTATCTACTCTATACGCTTATGTGTGTGCATGAGCGAATTTAATCTTTTAGTCATTTTCTACTTTTAAGAAAGAGTTTGTATCTTAATTTTTTTTCCCGAGCTTGTCTTAATAAAAGGGAAATACTGGCTTAATTCATTAAAACAGTATCTGTGACTTTGGGGGGAAGCATTAAGACATTTTTATCTCAGCCAGACTCCTCTCTCACTATAGGCCTCTTGGCTACAGATGGGACTTAATTGCTCCTTAAATATATCTAACATTTATGCTTACACAATATTGCCCACTAGCCATTCAGCACTTCTGTTGTAGTTCTTTACCCAAAAACTCATTAATTTTACTATGAACTCTTACTACTTTTTAGTGTAAAAAATATAAAAATTAGTAGTCTTGTCATGAGCAGACATAAATAAGTGCTAAGTTCAACAATTTGCTTTTTCAAAAAAGAGGATAAGTTAAAATCATATTGTACATAAACAATTTTCAAGTTTGTAAATAGAGTAACCATTATAAAATAATGGCAACATATATCCATTTGGAGATTTTACTGAAGCTTCTTCCTGTCCAGGGAAAATGTTTAGTTATATGTGTTCCACTGTGCCAAGGACAGGCTGGTCCTTTCCAGTCACTTACCCTCTGACAGCATGAATAAGTCTCAGTGATGGATAGGCAGTTCGCACTTTCAGTTTATTCTTAAGGATTAATGCATTAACCCACTCCACGTGCTTCTCTCCTCCTTTAACCATGAAAGCAGGAATCCAAAGGACACTGTCATTCAGCATGGAAAGTCTATGCACAAATTTTTCTCTGTCACTCTCATTTCGAAAGCCTCCAAATGCTCTTTGTACAACTGATGGATTCATGGTAATAAAATCTGATTTAGTTCCCACATCTGCAGCAAACTCCACCACAGGAGCTAGATTGCACCTAAAGAGGAAAAAATTAATGGGACAAATGAAAAAAAAAAAAAGAAATATTCACTAGTAAAATGGTGTTCATGAAAAGAAGAATGAGAAATGAGCATTTTTTTAACTAGATGGAAAGAAAACCAAAAGATCATCTATTTGATAAGATTACATTTTCAATAAACCGCCACATGTGCAGGAATACTGCTTGCAACAAAAATGTACACTCCCAGTACAGGGCCCAAAATGCCACTTATATGAATTCAACCTGTTGTCTAAGAATATCCTTTGTTATTATCTTCATAAAACCACACAATATGAATTTGTAATCAGTGAATTTATGATAGTTAATTCCCAAGGGTTCTTTTGCCATTCAGTAGGCAATTTAAACCACATGCTGCCCTATAAGTAAGTAAAACACGTTGGACTGGACATTCTAATCTGCACCACTTGTAAAGATTAAGTCATTTCAACAACTTTGTAAGTGTGAGGAAATAAAGTTGGCTTTACTTATACTCTGAGGTTAGGGGAAAAGTGCGATTCCTTACAGTGTTTTACACAAATATATTTACAGTTGCTTTCTATAGGTCTAAATGGAGAAGAAAAATAAGAAAAGTGGAGATATCATATTTAATATGACTTTCTGGGATTTTAAGTAATACTGAAAAGCACTTACTAGAAGATCAAATATCACCCTTTCTGTTTATTTTGAGGACATGCTTAAAATATCTGTTTTCCCTTTTCAGACATATGCATCCCTGGGGAATTGTATATGTAGAGAAGAAACAGAATATGTTGTCCTGTTTTCTCCACTAGAGTCATAAGGTCTTGAAAAGAGCTTGGGCCTGATTTTATTCATATAACCTGATTCCATTCTTATAGTAGAAGAAAGCTTTGGAAAGCACCTTGAATTTGGTCTTGAATCAATTTCTGATGCTTCTTTGATTCTATCACATAGACCTTTCAATACTTGATTTTAAAAATAGCCTTTTTCTTTTTTTTTTAAAGAAACTATTTTAACTTGCTTTTAAAAAGGTAGGTTTTAATCAGTTGATAAAAGAAAAATTAGACTTTGATGAACAAGAGTTTACTGTATTGGAAAAAGTTGTTTGAAGCTATTCAATCTAACCCTTGATGAAAATATGAAACTATTTTTAATACTTTCATCAACATTTCAAGGGAAGGGAAGATACATAGATTTTCTTTTTCTGCATTTTTGCCTGTTTGGCTACATTATGAAAGTTCCCTAGATTTCTCTTCATTGTGTATTTTGTCACATTAAATTATTAAACAAATTACATTTTAATTAAAAAGTAAAATGTGTTCTGAAGTTAAAAATACTGTCCTATATATCATTCCTTATCTCTGTTAATTAATATATCTTATTACTTCCTAGATCTCTGACGATATTTAGCTATAACAACAAATATACTTCATCTCAAACTCTATGTTATCTAGGGTGAGCTACTGAGCGAAAAACATTAACACAATAATATTATTTAGAAAGTACAGATTAAAGATTATCATATTTTCAATTTAGGTATCTTTAATTATACCCACTATGTTATATGACAGAGTATTTATTTGTTTCTACTCATGGTTCATAGCACTAATTATGATTAGATATTATTCATTCTCATTATGGTAAGAATATTACAAACAGGACAACCCAGAAAAAGATTTGCTGCCTGTGAATACTTGTCAAAGTGAACATCTTCTTGTGGAACTCATGACAGATCAAGACCTTGATCATTCTAAAATGGGCTCTATGCAAATATTAAAAGTAATCTAAAATTCTAAGGAAGCTAATTGTAACTTGAATTTGGATACTGTGGGGAAAGTGTCTTCTGGACATCATTATTACTAACATTTCTTTTGGTAAAGTGGAGAGAACACTTGTACCATTGCAGTTAACATGTTCCTGTTGGGGCAATGGCTTTGGATATATTTTTCCATTACAACAAATCCTTGGTAATTTCTTTTTAGAGAATTCCCATTGTAGAAAAAGAAGGTTTATACTTTATTTTCACTATAAAAACCAACCCAATTAAAGGTAATAAAAATGATACATTCTGTTGAATTATCCCTTCAGGAAAAAATATCACTCAGTTACTCTGTACTGTTTCTTGCCACATATTTAAACGCCCCTCCCCATATCCATATTTGCCAATACCCACTCTTGATTTTCTGGCCATGAATCTCTCGAGTGGTGGTAAGATGCTCATCAATTAAAGCTGAAGGCTGAAAGATGAATGCTTTCCATGTTGAAAGTAAAAGGGAGCTAATGGAATAAGAATATTCCTGGAGAATAATATTGAGCTAGGAAACAAACCAACATATTTTATTTAATTAATAAATGCTAAATAATTATGGTGCTAACTGAAAGAGTGACTGGAGATCACAGAATAACAAATCCACCTGCAGAGTCTTGAGGATCAGAGCAGAGCCCAATCAGACTTTGTCAGGGATAGTAACTTAGCTACTGAAAATAGTAAGACAGAAGACACTTCATAAAATATAACCCTTTCTGGCTTTAGGAGTCCAGCTTGTTCATTTTCCTGGGAAGACGACATATACATTTTCCCTGGAAAGAAGAGTAATACCATGTCCACATGTTGCTGGTAAATTAATGACTCTGCGGTTGAGTCAGATTTTTAGTCATATAATTAGCTGAATGCCACATATTTAAAAGAAAGTGTTAAAAAATAAAAAAATAACCAATAAGCTATGTTGCACTCCTGCAATTCAGTAGACTTGTTGTGAGGATCTGAACATTACTAGCAGCAAAACTGCTGATTGAGCAAGATTATGAATGTATTTGCAATCACAAAGTTTCATCTTTTTAAAAAAAATTCCTTAGAGATTATAATATTCAAAATTAGCCAGAATGTATCTCAAGTATTTATGAGTAATACACGATACTCGTGTTATTCTTAATCTCATAAAATAGAGGAATGGTCAGTTTTAAATTTGTGGATTTTTTGTGAATCAAAACTGCTGAGTGCATATAAATATTTAATAGAGTCAAACAATATTATCTTTAGCCAAATTAAATTTTTTTTGCACATTTTACTTTTGACATGTGGAAAACATATTCACAGAATTAGCTGTATTAACAGAATTCTTTATTTACTCTAAACTTTCCAGTTCTCAACCTATTTGTGTTTATTCTACAATCTTTATTAAACACATATAGGAATGCAGCTAGCTCCACTGTATTCTAGGCCTCTGAATTTTCTTCAATAATTTCACACTGCATATGATGGCTTCTCATCCCTATATGCAGAATTGAAGGTACTTTCATGTTAATTTAAAACCTATATAAGATACTTAATTTAGAATTCATAGGGAATAAATGTTTATTTCATGTACGAACACCGCAAGATTACAGAATTTCTTAGCAAAAAATATCTCTTGGGTTGGCCATTATTTTCTGTATTCCCCTTAAATTATAGTTCAACAATATATGCAACTAAGAGATCCCACTTTCATTTACTCAACAGGCATTTATTGAGAGTTTGTTTTACAAACACTACTCTAGAAGTTCAGAAATCTTTTTCCAGCTTTTTAACTACTTATGTTATTTAACAATGACATAGTCTGTCCAAAATGTATTTTGACAGATATTATAAGTAATATCAATAGGTTAATTCTCATTCACTTAGCTAAATGTTTTTTAATTTTATGATGTATATATCTGTGCTAGATATAGGACTCATCATCCAAGATATTGAAGTAAAACACGGTTTTCTGTGACAATTGGGGGTTGTCACTTACATCCTTTCACACACAGCAGATTAAATAAGAATAAAACAATTGTAGGTATGTTATAGACCCAATTTTTCCTGCCTTTGTTGATATTCAGACAAATTCCAAATACATAATTGTCATCCTTTTTCTTCTTTGGCCAATCCCACTGCGTTGCTTCCTGTGTTGACATCCCTCAGCCAAAACATTATTATCTATGGAAACACCTTTGTCAATCCACTGTGAAATAGGAGCAAATGTCTTCTCTTTTATGCCCCTCGAGGAAGCTTGTTGATCCTGTCCGTTCCCATCTTGCTTCTCAGCTTGAGGAGCAAATGGAACAGCGACAAAAATCTTTTAGCTGTCTTTTTTTAGATTTTGTGATTACTTTCTCAACATTTCTGGGGAAAGCTGGCATATGCAGCCTGTCAGTCTCTTTGACTTTCCTGTCATGAAGGTTGTGGGCTCCACATAGACCTGAAAGCAATCATTTTGCTTTGAGGTAAAAAGTAGTATTAACTCCACTTTTGATGAGAAACTAAGGTTAAATTGGTTAAGAAACATGTCCAAGGGCATATAGGCTGCAAAGAAAAAGCACCATCTAGTTTGGAATCATTCCAGGACAGGAGTTTTAACTGACACTATTTATATATATGATTTCATTCAGAAATACGATAAATGTCTATAAACTCATACTTCACATAAACCTTCTTGTAGAAGAAAGAGTGTTTTATCATTGAACCCTAACTTTTCATCTCAGATTCCTAGGACTCAGGTATATTATTCAAGGCCATTCAGCCATGATGTTTCCAAAACTTTGAGCAGTTACTACACAAAAGATTTTAAATATCTAAAACATAAACATAATATCTATACCTCAGATCTCTTGATAGACAGGATTTCAAAATGTTAGCAGAAAGTATTAAATAACTAACTTATAAGACTTTTGAAATATTAACCATAGGATTAAAAGTTGACTTATATGTGGTATACCATAATGTAGTAAACAAAATATAATAAATAAAGTTGAAATATCATATTAAATATCTGCACGTTCAGTATGCTGAATAGGCAAACAAAAATACACACATATACACACACATCACATTTTATGCTTGCTGTCAAAATACCAATTGATGAAATCCTCAACTACATAGAAATACAAATGACACACATCACGAAATAATGAAATGACTAAACAGAAGAGGAAATTTTTCACAAGCCCGGATTTGTTTACATTAGTGGCAAGGGTGGAAAGAATAGTGTCATACTCTA